ATATATTGGGTCTTCAGTTGTGCAGTTTGTGGGTGGGACAGCTCTAGGACATTACTGTGCAGATGCCTAGTGAGACACTTTACTAGATATTTAGGCGATTGTAGAAAAACGTCCTTGTAACTAAGCACATTTAAAGGAAGACTTCACCCACAAAATGATCATTTGTATATCATTTACTCAGCCTATGTTACGTTGAATTCCTGAAGAAAACTGTTTTTCTTGCATACCTCCACAGTGAACAAAGAATCCAAAAATCCAGAGGAACTGAAATCATAGGGGTCAGCGTTAAACAACAGCCAAACTATATATACTCTCACACAACTTGTTTTGTATAATCTCATTTATACACTCATTTAAACACTTGTAAAGAGTCTCATGCACGAACGGGTAGCATGCAGGGGTAAGCTAGCAGAGCTTAAATGCATGCACTCACTCAGGTTGTGCTTGTGTGTGGTTGTAAATAAGAAGGTTTTAGCTAAAATGGTATACAAGCATAAAAGTGGATAAACAAGACCTGGATTTTACTGCACGAATTACGGGAGATATTTTTTACTTGCGCTTATTTATCAATTTGCAGATGAAGATTTTAAATGTGAATCACAAAATATCCCTGTTTTTGGGAAAAAATCTTCAATATGTCATCTGTAAGCCCTGTTAAAAGCAAAACGAACAATTCATAGAAATAATTTAAGCATCAAGAAATCATTTCAAGTCTTTTAAGATGAATTTCACATGAAGAAAAGGGAGAATTATAATTGGGCTAAAGACAGTCAGGTGGAACTACTGCGTGTACAGTAGGAAACTGACCTCACTTGACAGCTCCTGTGCAGGTACAGGGAAGCAGGAAGCTAACTGACTACTGCATTATTCAACTTCCTCCTTTCATCTTTTTTTTCCATCCCCCTCCTCACTCTCTAACAAGGGCTCTCATTCAACCTCTCCCCACCATGTTTTCTCCTTTCCACCTCTCTGCAGGGCAGGGGTTGACTTTCACCTTTCTCTGGTTGCTCTCTTTTTCTTTTGACTCTCTGCATCTACCATGCTCTCCCACTATGGCTTTCTCTCTCTGTCTGTCTAAAACTGAGTTATGTAAGCATCTGAACAGACCTAGATAAAATAAATAAGTACAGAGAAAAGAAGGGGAAGAGAAACCATCGTCCTCAAAATGAATAGGCAGACAAACTAAGGAGGAACTAGACAAGCTAAAGAGAAACAGCTTTTGTATCACAGTGTTATTTAAGCAAACTATAGAGGCGTTTTGAAAATATTAAATAAATAAACTCAGAAAAAGTGAGAAATATGCTGGAAAAAGATGATTATTGCATGTTGGACATGCAATAAAACAGATTTCTGCAAAGGCTGCAATGTTTGTGATCAATTAAATCACACGTTAGTGTTAACATAGTCCTTCATGTTGCTCTAAGCCTGGCAGTTTGCAGCATTTTCCTTTTCCTCCGCCACAGAAGTCACTTAACATCTGACATTTCCAATAACTGATGTGGAGAAGCAGTGCACTGCTGCACTCCAGTGACATCTTTCCAGGTCTCATAGTAAGACTGGCTAATATTGGAAATGAGATGACTTTCCGCTCTGCTAAAAAGGTCACACAGAGTGGTAAACATGTTTTTGGTTTGTTTATTAGTCTCCAATTTCTTCCTCCGGAATGCGATGTTCTTTTAATAACTAGCTGCTCTGTAGGGTTGCCCCCAGAGAGACGAGAGAGAAGAGAGCAGAGAATGAGAGAGAGAAAGGGGGAAGAAAGAGAGGAGGGGAAAGATAGTGGCAGAGAAAGATAAACAGATTCAAAATCAGATTCATGTCAGAGGGATGTCGGACTGTAGGAGAAGGAAGACGGGTAAGGAGAGAAACGGAGGAAAACGAGAGTGTAACCAGATCCGTATTAGAGACAGGAGAGGCTTGTTTTTCAGTCTCACCTACTAGCCTCCTACCCTCGTCGGGCCAGATTGTATTTTTAATAAGCCTCCACTCTCCTCCTCTCTCCACCTCTTCTTTCGGATGACCAGTCAACTAGAGCAGTGGGAATCCAGAGGAAATAAAGAGTAAAACGGACAGCAGGGATGACAGATAGGCAGACGGGAACTTGATATCTTGATAACAATGACTTAGTGAGAGCGGAGAGGGCAGGATGTAATAACTTGCTTCACTTGCCACAATATTTACTGCAAGAGCTTCTTTATTTTGTCAGATCATATTACTGAAAACTGACTTCTAATGAATTAATATAGCATGTGCTTTTTGTTCTGTTTCTAAATGTTAACTGTTTTTGACACATGACGAAGTCAGCACATGTATAAATACTGATGTTAATAAGCTTCTAAAAGCATATTTGTGAATATTTTTCTCACTTTGAGCACGTATTTTAATGTCCTTGACCTTTTCCTCCTTGGGAATTTGCTTGGAGATTTTAGCCAGAATTTACTCTATTTAGTATTTTATTTTGTGTGAGTGATTCATATTTGTTTTTTTAAAAGCACATCTGTTTGTTTTTCTTATTGACAATCTGAATACTTCAAAGGAGTTAATTTGGTTTGATTAATTTGAAGTAATTTTTAAAGCTGCATTTCTAATCTTTGATGAACGTTGTAAGACACTTATGAAAGAGGACATAACCCATTTAAATTCAGAATAAACTACACGATCCTGTCTGACCTCCTCATTCCTCACTCTATTTCTCAACCACTCTGATCCTCAAACCTCAGCCTTATATCTATTCCCTGCTCCAACTGCAAAACAAAAGGTAATTGAGCATTTGTTGTTTTAGCCCCAACTCTCTGGAACCATCTTCCCCAATCTGTTGGCTTTGTGGATACTTTTATCGTTTTAATCAGCTTCTAACAATTCCAAAGCCTTTTTATAGATTTCCATCCCTGTCTTCTTATGTTTTGGTTTATTCATTCATTTATATTTTTCATGTGGGTGTGAGGCACTTTTTAACTGTGTTTAAAAAAGTGCTATATAAATAAAGCTTGACTTACCTACTTACTACATTATTTCTTGAATAAAGAAAAAATTGAATAGTGAATCAATCAAACACACCCCTGCTCACTTCAGTGCACTCAGTGGTTAATGGCTTATTGGGGGGGGGGGGGGGGGGTTAAATAACAGACCATTGCTATGGACGCAGTTCTGATAATAGACACTTTGAGGAAGCAATAAAATAATTTTTAAATCAACATTTTGTGACAAAATTTGGATTTTTTTAAAATAGTAAGTAGCCTTACATAACAGATGATAGAACTTCTTGACTTGAAGAGTTTCAGTTTTCTTCCACTTGTGCTACTGGTTATTTTAGGTTTTAGTGTTTATATCACATGTGGCCTCTGATGAGCAAAAGTTACATAGTCTTGCTTTAAAGCTATCTATGATGGTTCATATATTCTAATTAGAAGATGTGCAATTAGCAAGTAGGATGAAATGATTTGTTTTATGTTTGTTTAACCTCTACCTCATTAAAGACCTGCCCTCCACTGTATAGATTCATTTTGCAATCTAATCCCTTTAAGCAAGTCAAATCTTTTGTGTGTTACATGCATGAGCAGCTTGATTTGGCAGTTTAATGTCCAATATGTTTACACATTGCATTGGTGGATTCATTTTGTCTTCCATCTCATGTTTGCGTGTGTTTGTGAGTACAAGCATGCTCCCATGTGTATGTGCAATATGCCCAAGTGTCTGTGAGTGTGAAGTGGAAAGTATGCATATTCCTGCCTCCGTGTGTGTGTGTGTGTGCGTGTCAAAGAGAAGGAGGTAGAGTCCTAGTCCTATATGCGCAAATGGATGTGAGTTGCTGTTACTGTATGTGTACACATTTGTTTGCGTGTGGGTTTGGAGAGCAGTGCTCGCCCACACTGACCTTTGTCAGGAAAAAGATGTGTTTCTGAATTAATACTGTGCTTTTGCTTGCTGATTCTACCACACATCAATCTCCATACAATAATATCTCTCAGTTATTCTACTCGACTAACATCTGGAGGGAAAAGAGCTCAGATAAAATGCCATTCTATATCTTGATAGATGGATAAAATGAAAGTTTATGGAGTTAAATTGGCTTTGTATTTGTGTTTTGTCTGTTAAAGATAGCAGTGTTGTTGGTACTGGTATGTTCTTAAAGCAGCTATAATCAGTGTTTTAGCGTAACAGCTGATCACATGACTACTTCTATGTGAAAGGTGTAAATCAAAGTGACAAAGAGGATTAACTTGACTCTTTTTTTGGTTCAACTGGCTTTCATACTGCAACATTGTTTTCTACACAGTGTGACAGTATGACAACATAAGCGACTAGCTGGTGAATATCGTGGAGCATTTAGCAGCAAAGAGCCAGATATTTGTCTCGGGAGACCAAAACAGAGCAAAAAGGAGAAAGAATATTGGACTAATATTCATCAGGTGGCCACAAACATGTCTACAAATTGATGCTAATGTTGCTGCTTGTGTGCTGAATGTGTAAATAACAAGCTGTTTGCTCACCAAATCAACTTAAAGGTGACATGTCAGTGTTAGGTTTACAGCTCTTAAGTGACCAAAAGAATCAGTTATTGCAGGGCTCAACGATAAGCATTGCCCAATTGCCCAGGACAAGTTAACAGTTCCACTGCAGACTAGTAAATCTAGCAACTAAAGAATGAAACGCATTGTTTTTTTCTGGAGCCGATGATGAAAGTAGCTAAGGAGTGAGCCGTAACGCTTCCTTCCCAATCTCTGTTGAGAGTTGCACATGTGCAGTACTAATCAGGCACTTGAGAGAAAATGGTGTGGTTAATGACAAAGATCATGAGCTGAAGTGTAAATGAGCATTTCAATTATCCTGGAAACAGTTTGGTTGGGTGGTGTTAGAGGACGTGGACAGAATAAAAATTAAACATGACAATCAACTTTATTCTTTGTTGTTATTTGACAACTGCTATAAATAAAGCAATTTGTGGTCCAACCAGGCAAATGAAATAAAACATTAACATTGAACCCTGCATTACAGGTGCCCGATGCTATCATGAAGTGCCAGCGTGCAGGCATCACAGTGCGCATGGTGACAGGAGACAACATAAACACAGCCAGGGCCATAGCCATCAAGTGTGGGATCATTCACCCCGGAGAGGACTTCCTCTGCATCGACGGCAAAGAGTTCAACAGGAGGATCCGCAATGAGAAAGGAGAGGTACAGTAACCACTATTAGAGTTAATCAGACAGCAAGACAGGCTGAGCTCAGGAGAAAGAAAAATGTCTTTCTCAGTCTAAATCACCACCACATGTCCTTTTAACATGTCTGTGTGTGTGTGTGTGTGTGTGTGTGTCCAGGTGGAGCAGGAGCGTATTGACAAGGTTTGGCCTAAACTCCGAGTTCTGGCCAGATCTTCCCCAACCGACAAACACACACTTGTCAAAGGTGAAATGGTTGCCTTATTTCATTTTCATTACTGCTCATCAAAATGAGACTCACCTTGTTTTGACATGTTCGTCTGTATATAATATGTCAGAGTTTTGCAGAGGTAGTAAATACCTGAAATTACTCACCTCGATTAGGGTTTTATTGTCTTTCAGATGCTGTGTTCAATGTATGTGTACATGTGTTTGACAGGCATTATTGACAGTACTATGGCAGATCAGAGGCAGGTGGTGGCTGTGACAGGAGATGGGACCAATGATGGACCTGCACTGAAGAAAGCTGATGTTGGCTTCGCCATGGTGAGCAAACCCTTGTTTCTGTTTGTATCATTTTCTGCCCTGCTTGCTTTTTTTTAGGGATTGATCTCAACATCTGCAGATATCTTCTTCACCTCTGCAGTATTCAGGGGTTTTTTCTCAGGCACTCTGCCTCTGGCAGTGTAGATTAGGAGCTCCCCCTAGTGGATTTTTGAGCTCACACAATATCTCTGCAGTACATAGAACTCTACAGAATACTGGAAAACATAATTTGGTACTCAGCTGTTATGCTGTTTCCTCTATTTCAGGTTTCCTCACTAATTACTAATTTGACCTAGCACCATTTTCTTCTAGGTCCAAAAACTTAAGGAGGTTGTTCCTGACATTTTTTGTTATGACTCCATAGCCCTGTCAGACAAGCTCGACCACCCCTTCATAGTTACCACCTGTCTTGTTCTAAATGTGCTAATTTTAAGTGATTTTTTTGGCTAATGTGACAATAAATGTGCTAAACATAAGCCTCACGCTATATATATAATCATATATGTGTTTTTTTCCCTCCTAAACACAAATCGTAATTTACATTGCAGAAGTGCCCCCTAACTCTAACCCCTTTGTGGGAATCACTGATGTAAGGTCTAAGCTGGTCAGAATACTTTTGCTCGCCAAAGACACAGATGTGTTGGTCGATGTGGTCACTACTTTTTATGAAGTCACGACCTCATCTGCACACTGTTCCCCCATATGTCCTGAACACAGCAAAACAAGAAGAAAATAAGAAAATACAGGCAGAAGACAGAGTCTGTGCAGATGAATACACCCTCACACACTTCCAGTGATGATTGTTTTTTAGGAAAGTCCTGCTTAGTATACCTTTAACATTAAATGTCAATGTCAATGAGTTTCTTTTGCTTATATGTCTCTTATCATCTACTCTGTTGGAAGGACATCGCTGTAGTCTGATATTTACACCCTACATGGGTTAAACGAATAGACCACACTCACAAACATGCCCTCACATGTAGCATTCATGTAGCATCATCATTATCAAGCACGAAGTTGTCTGAATGCAGCTATTGTCTATAAGGTGCTGCGCTCTGCTACTCATTACATTATCAGGCAGCTGTCCTGCTCCTCGCATAGAAATATGGAGCCTCCTGTCATCAAACCAACAACACACGCACTTACCCCTTAATTAATCTGCATCATTTTCCATCATCGGACTGAATTTGTGTCCAGAGACAGTTTTTTTCCAGTTGCTGTAAAGTTGATTTAAACAGACTTCTTTAATTTTCTAAGTGGTAGGTTGAGGAATAGTGCAATATGATGCAATGAATTCAAGTTTCTTTCTGACTGCACCTTTTCTGTTTCCCTTCAGGGTATTGCTGGAACAGATGTGGCCAAAGAGGCGTCAGATATCATTCTGACTGATGATAACTTCAGCAGCATTGTCAAAGCCGTAATGTGGGGCCGGAACGTCTACGACAGCATCTCCAAATTTCTTCAGTTCCAGCTTACTGTCAACGTTGTGGCCGTCATTGTGGCTTTCACTGGCGCCTGCATCACACAGGTCCGAGGCTTGTGTGTGTGGGCATGTGATGGGGTTATATTAGTATTACTGTAGTCTGATCTGTAATTTGAAAGCTGTTGAGTTACTTAGTTACTTATCACCCCTGGTTGTATTGACGTTATTAAATTTTTTTATTTCAATTGCCGTTACATTTCCACAGGACTCTCCCCTGAAGGCCGTGCAGATGTTGTGGGTGAACCTGATCATGGATACTTTCGCATCTCTGGCCCTGGCGACAGAGCCTCCCACAGAGTCTCTGCTGAAGAGGAAGCCATACGGTCGCAACAAACCTCTCATCTCCAGCACCATGACAAAGAACATCCTCGGACACGGAGTCTATCAGCTCATCATCATCTTCACATTGCTCTTTGTTGGTATGGACTGTGATTTTGCTCTGCGGTGTTTCAGGGGCTCTGCATCCTCATAATGTGACATAAAATGGGTTTAGAGTTAATGACATCATTCTTACTGTCTATTTTTCCCCTTGCAGGTGAGAAGATCTTCGACATAGACAGCGGCCGTAATGCTCCTCTCCACTCTCCTCCATCTGAGCACTACACCATCATCTTCAACACCTTCGTCATGATGCAGCTCTTCAACGAGATTAACGCCCGCAAAATCCACGGAGAGAGAAATGTCTTCGATGGTATCTTCAGGAACCCCATCTTCTGCACGATTGTTTTTGGCACCTTTGCTGTTCAGGTAAGCAGATGCAGATCATTATGTATTTTGGTTTCTTATTATCACAAAATAGTCACATTGAACAAGTGAATGGTTTCTTGAATTCTTTGTGCTTTGCTTTGTGTAGATTGTGATTGTGCAGTTTGGAGGGAAGCCATTCAGCTGTCAACCCCTGGACCTGGAAAAGTGGATGTGGTGTGTTTTCCTCGGGCTTGGAGAGCTTGTCTGGGGACAGGTAACACACTCTCATCTGTTTCTTTGAGTTCTCCCTCTTCACTTGTTCTCTTACATTTATTCTAGTTCACCATGTTTTACTCTTCCTCTGTGTATCTCTACTGCATGCTTGTCACCTTTCCTCCTGACCCAGTGCTCTGTCTTTTCTGTGGGTTAGGTGATCGCCACCATACCCAACAGCAGGTTGCGCTTCCTGCGGAGGGCAGGCCAGTTAACTCAGAAGGATGAGTTACCAGAGGAGGATGTAAATGAGGACAATGAGGAGATTGATCATGCGGAGAGGGAGCTGAGGAGAGGGCAGATCCTCTGGTTCAGAGGACTCAACCGCATTCAGACTCAGGTGAGGACCCGAGTGTAATCCTGTCGCTGTGATCTGTTGTTTTATTTCACAGAGCCATATTGCTGGAGTGATTTTGCCTGAAAGAAAGGATATATGGATTTTTGAAATTTAGATTTAAACAGGGTCACTCTTATCTCTCATATCATTACTTAAAGCAACTACAAGAAACTTGCGTTGCGTGTTGTTTTTGGCAGCCCCTGCGGACAAAGTAGTAGTGTTTCCATGAGCACCACTGCCTCGTGTCATGAGGATGTTGATCTGGCTAGTGCGTAGCCTCTTCATCTGTTGAATGACTAACCAAGGTTGACTCTTGTTTTCGTCCGTGCTCTGTCAATCTCACTTCAGCTTTTTTTTGTTCTTTAAGTCAACTTTTCTTTTCTCTTTGCCGATTGTGCCTCAGTACCAGCCATAACCACAAAATACAACGTCAAAAATAAAATTCTCTAAAGAAAAATCATATGTACCACTTGCACGTGCCGCTAATGTTCTTGTTTTCTCATGTAGGTCATACAGAGGCAGCAGCATTAAAGTGACGCTGTTTCATAACCAGTTAAAAACTTGTAGTTGCTTTAACAACAGTTGAGGTTTTGTGAGGTCAGTTAAGCACCAATAAACTTCAACAAGATTACATTTCACCTATGATGTTTTCTGACATGCTTTTTGTTTGACTTTTTGTCTGTCTTTGTCATTTAGTCCATTTTCAGTAGGAAGTCGCATCACCTCAAACATTACCTGAGAAGCTAACCCCTAAAGAAAAAGTGCTAGATCATATGTTCGTCATGTTAGTCAGTAACAGCCTTAAAGTCATTTTATCTCAAGATGGTTTATTCAGGTACATGAAGATGCAGCTCTCTCTCACTGGACCGAGGCGATCACCTGTGTGCACCTGTGGAAGATCGACGGTCAAACCTCGGGGGGTTAAATACAGCTGGACATAGTCAATGAATTATTCTCACTGTGACCAACTCTTCACGCCGTTATCACTGTGATATACAAGACAGTTATGTCTGTGTGTTAAATTTGATTTCATTTCACTGATGTGTCACTAATGGTGCAGGGTGAAGCTTTCCCACAACGTGATACTGTGAAGCAGCATCATACAGAGGCAGCCAAACACAGTTAAGAGACAGCAGGGAATACAGGTTTTAGGTATTAAAGGAAAACTGTGGTTTCTTTCAACTGAAAGAACAGAATTTGAATTGTTGAGACATCACTGAAAATGGGTCCAACAGGGCAACAAGCAAGAGTGTTCAGATGATTGATCAGAATTTAAACAAACCCTCAGATTAGTCAGATTTATTTGGAAGAGGAAAATGGAAGAAAAAACTATAAATCACAGGTTACAGGATGACTTCCTGTTTGAGCTTTCACCTACTATAGCTGCTGTAGTTCTGCACACTTCAAGATATCCTATGTAATGGCAGATTATTCGTGGCAGTATACAGTAGGGGCACTCAGTTTCACTTTTATCGCAACATAAGGCAGTTTAACAAATCTGGCAACCTTTCTAATCGTCTGACCACTTGTGGCTGTTGCCCTGATGCTGATGTTGCCACTCAAGATTTCACAAATTATAAAGTGAGTACAATGTTATCATAATCAATAGAACTGATCCCTGAGCTGCAAAACAAAACCCAAGTTGTACTGAACCACAGTTTTTCTCTAATTCCTGAACTAAAGCGGAGATGTCACAAAACAAAATACCTTGAATGATGTAAATGGCTGCATCTGTATGCTATACAATGACTCGCCAGTCTTTTAAAGGGTCAGTTCACCCAAATTAGCAAACTCACTTTTACCTCTTGAGGTATCTCGCTGTGCAGGTGGTTTGGTTTCATTTGTTTGGCTTTTAGTGATATCTATCTCTGGGACTTTTGTTTCCGGGTACCCAGTACAAAGGAGATGAATGGAATTCAGTTGTGTGGTGCTGACATGATAAAAAAAAATACACTTGAAATATTCACCAGCAAAACCTCTTTACTAAAAATATTGGTGCTATTAGTCTGAATAATCCTCCCAGTAGACTGTCTGTAGTCTTGATAGGACTGCTTCCTCTATCCAGAGTGGTTCCAATAAAAACTGTTAATTGTGAGGTCCGTTATTTATAGATAGAGCCGGACAATTAATGTTTACATGCACAAAATATTCAAGTTTTTTGCCCTTATTCCAAAAAAATGATGTGTTCCTACTAAGCTGTTTACTTGACTAATGAAAATAAATTTTCCACTAATATTTCTGTTAACATGCAGCTGTGCATACTCCAGTAACGTGCTTTAACGTGCTGTATATCATGCCAAAATATGGAAAACTAAAATAGCTGAAGCAGCTTGTGCCATTTGCATCAAACTAGGATTTTTTCAAAGTTTAACAGTGTGAACACAGCATCCTTCTTTCCTTCCTTTAGCCTTTTTGAGAAAGTTAGTGTTGCAATATTTGGGCACATCCAGAAACCTGTTGATATCCAAGTCTTTCATAATGTTTAAAAGTAGGTGTGTTTCTCCCTCCGACCAGAAATGTGGACTTTTCTCTTGGGCAGGAATCTCTACCACAGCCTTGCTCACGGTTGGCTAGTTGGTTTGTGTACAAGACATCCAAGACAAGGTACAGAGTTGACTGTAAACAGACAAGAGGCCATGTGTCACAAACTGCAGGAAAAACCCAAATTGAGACGCGTTTTCCAAATGCGCTGAATACATGCCCAAAGAATGCCATTCAAACTTGAATAATACCGACATATCCCACATGTCTTAATTGGAAAATGCTTGATTTGGAAAGAGACCTAATTCGGAATACCTGAATGGAATATGCTTTTTTTCCATGACCAGCATCAAATTCAGAATACGTCATATTTAAAATAATAGTGAATTTTTAGTGTGCATATAAACGTAGTCACTGTTTATGTGAAGATGCATTGCTGTTGAATTTTTTGGTGCAGTTCTGTGAGCACCACAAGTGAAAACTCCTTCACCTCTGTTGTACTTGGGTGGTGGCGGGAATCTTGAGATGAGGTAATTTGGGTGAACTAACCCTTTGGGTCAAATTCACCATGCTGCTGAGGGGATACTGCACCCTGACCTTTCGCTGTCCCCCCCCATCCTGTCATGACTGAGACACTTTGTACTCCTTCAACCACCAGAGTCACCCAGCCAGTCAACCTGTGTTGCCATTTGGTCTCTGTCACTCTGAGCAGCCATTTGTCCTCTCCTGTCCCGCTCTCCTCCCACAGATTGACGTAGTCAACACCTTCAAGAGTGGCACCTCCTTTCAGGGGGCGGGGGCTCTGAGGCGCCAATCATCCACCACCAGCCAGACCCAGGATGTAACCAATGTTTCTAGTCCTAGTCACGTGTCCTTGTCCAATGCCCTTTCCTCTCCTACAAGCACTACTGCTGCTACTGCTCCTCCCACTACTGGCCGTGAGTCAGAACTCTGTCAGTCTGCTTCTCTGCTCTCTTTGCTTCAGGGGTGCCATCATGTCATGAACAAAAACTTATTTCTCTCTGCACACTGTCTGGCTTGATATTCTTAAAACAAATTACTGTGGCAGTCTCCATTTTGGGGTTGGCATCTCTGAAGAGTCGTCTTTTTTTTTTTTTCTTCTTCTTGCTATCTGCTTTTTCATTTCCTCTCTTCTGTCTTTTTGCTGTTCATACTGGATTTCAAATTCATCTTGATATCTCCTCCCATGCTTGGGTGTACTATCGTCTCATTGGTGAATGTGTGTTTGTTTCCTCAGAGTGCTAGGAGCGCAGGACTAAGGGTGATACCCACGGCGTGACATTTCAGGTTGTGAGTTTGTCTCCCTCTGCTCATCCCCCATCCACCATCCCATTCTCCAGTCCTTCCATTTTTATGTCTTGACGGACATTAATATGAACTAATTCCAATCAACTCACCTGGGACTGGGTAAACATTCAAGTATAAGTTGCAGTGTTGTTTTATTTCATCTGTGAGATTGCTATTGATGAGGCAAATCACACTGGATTGAGCTGAAGCAAATTTTGAACTGCTATTTAATGTGTTCTTGAGCTGACACATCATCTGCAGTAACAGGAAAACATAAAGGAAACAATGGTTTTGATGCCACGCTTTAAAAAAAAATTAGCCACTTTGCAGTTTTTCAAAATTATCTTTCAAATGGGGATCCCAAATGGTGCAACTAAAATCTACCCACGAGGAGGCACTGTCAGTATCAGGGTCTATCTCTGTATAATGCTGTCCTCCACCTCCATCTTCTATTTCTTTCTCTCTCTCTTCTGTACACACACACACACACACACACACACACTTTGTCTCTAATCTTTATCTACATGTTTGAAATCATGGGTAAAGCTCTGTGGAGGGTCGTGCGAACAGGAATGGAGAATCACCATAAAGCAGTACTGCACCAATTATTCATCCCGTCTTGTCGCTTCATACTGTCGGTGTAGTTGACTGTCATGTTGCCATAGTTACGGACATAGATCCTCTGCAGCACCAGCGACGTAAATTCAACCCCCACCTTCTTCTGACACCCCATCAGTGTTACTTGTCAGACATCCTGTCACATGCACTCATCCCGACAGGCTCCTCTTATTATTTGTTTTATCTGTTTTGTCTCCTTATACCCACTCTGAGTACTGACAGTACGACAGTATTTACAGTATTCCCAGACATTTAAAAACCTAATATCGCTGAGGCTTTTAATGCACCCTCAGTGTCTTTTAATACATCTTTATATGGAATAGTTAAAGGAGCTCTATATGACATTCAGAGCATTAATATAGCAGCAAACCACTATTTACTATGTAAAGATAAAATGGAGGAATGGTGTCCTGACCAGAGAGTAAAGTCAGGCTACCTCTGTGTGTTTTGTTATTGGAGTTTCTCTGTTAGTTGTTGTGGTAGACGGTCGAGCTGCTAGTGCATGGTAGTGCATGTGAGTCCCTGTATATATCCCACTGGCTAGCTAATCACCAACACTTTGCACTGTGCTCATATGATGGTTACCACTAATATTGAGAAGGCAACGTCATGGAAGCATTACGCCTACCCTCCGTTTACCCACTGGTTAACACCACCATTAGCTGATAGCCACCGGCTCAGCTACCTCCATGTTGAGAACCGTGTGCAGACAATCCCTGAATTATAGATACGCTCTGAATATCCCATTGAGTTCCTTTAAAAACTTTAATAATATTGTAATGTCTTTTTTGTATATTTTGTAGACTTTGGGTAAAAATATTTAGTGCTAAAATAACAGTTTTGATAATCATTAATACTTGAAGTCATTCATCCACCAAAACCAGAAAGCATTCACTCATTACAACTTAGCAATTATGAGTATTTTCTGTTTACTGTTTATCACTCATTCTTGAGAATTGGGATAAAAACTTGATATTTTAAAAAGTTCAAGTCTTGACCATTAAACCTTGTAATGGGCCAACCTCCCAGTGATTTATTTTTTTATTAAATAGCTACATGATGGATATCAGAGATGAGATCTGACGGAGTTGACGTTTTATGGAAACTATGGAAAATTCTCATTTTTAAACCACAATTCTTATTTACTTTGATTTGGTAGGGCTATGGAGTTGGTGTATAATGGTAGAGACATACTGGATAGCAATATTATTTAATGAATTTATCAAATAATAGAATGCTTACCTGTTGTTTTGAAACCAGGAAGTGAGACAGGAGTCCTTTTGACATAGCTAACCCATTTTATGCCTGATTAAATAATGTTTTTGTAGAAATGTGATGGAATTGACAAAAATGTGGAACACATCTGTAAAGGGACAACATTTAAAACAAATATATTTTAAGACAAATATGATTATAACAGTACAATTACAGTGTTTGTTGCAAAACTAACAATGCTAGTAAAGGTTTTTATGATTAAAAAATAGGACATGCACATCCCCGAAGCCCACTGGGTTGGGTGCTGGATCACAAAGTATCAAAAGCATGAAAAAAGAAAAAAGCGATCTGCACACCAAAAGAGCTCCCGTATGCAATTTTTTATTTTGCATGACATTCTTTTTTCATGCAGTAAAGGCTTTTTTAATTGTTTGAAGTTGTAAATTCTTGTCTGGGACAAGGGTGTTTTCCTGCACAGGGCAAGTTTAAAGTTTAAAAAACGGAAGCAGATCAAAATATTTTCTAAATCATATTATTTTCATACACATAAATCCTTTAAGAATAACGTTATATGGACTTACTGTGTTGATTGATTAATTTTAAGGTTAAGGTAGGCCAGGGATTTGTCCTGCCTCTCAAGAATGGATGTTAATTATTTACTGTTTTTCAGTTTCAATATAAATTGAGTTACGTTGAATCAAGTTAGGTTTTGGATCAATAAGCATCAACTTTAGATTTTGGAAACTCTGATGAGCATTTTTTACCATCCTCAGGCATTTTATAGACTAAACTTGATATCTGAGTGGTCAGTATGACCTAAAATATCTGTTGATACACACATTACTGCATCTGTGGTCCATAAAAACTATTGTTCCATTCACAGTTTGAAGATTAGAGACTTAGTGAGTCTATTAACATTTCAATATTTGTTAGACCACGTACTTCAGTAGCACCAGAATAAAATACTGCTATAATAATGGTTATATAGCTGAAGCTCACAAAAATCCTTACAAAAAAAAAAGATGGATCTTTACAAAGGATAATCCTAATGACAAACATTGACTTAACCACAATGAAGTGAAACCCGTTTTATAACTTGTATATTCCCCAGTGTGCTAACATGAGTCAGTGTCCTGTTTTAAAGCATCTAATAATCTCTGTAGCTGTCAAATTGTCTGTAGATCCTAAATTTCAGCATCCGTTGATATTGTACATGCAGACAGATTAAAATAACTCTTTCCTATAATCCACAAGCTGAAGGAGCTGACATACAGATACGTCTGTCCTCACTAAAGGTTCTTGTAGATGTTTGGGGCCTATACTTGAGTGTTTACTTAGATGTGCATGGAGTTGAGAGCTGTCAGACCTCTGACAGTAAACTTATTATTTTTACCATCCACTTCCATTTGTTTTGTGTCAACAGTCTGTGTGCCGGTGTCCACTTCTTCCTCACCGTCCTGTTGTCTTGTTGCATGTAGTTTGTGTTTACCCTTTGTTTACTTCCTGTGTTCATAATATCTTAACCTGCTGTGTTCGCTCGTTGTCTAAATGCCACAGTTTTTTTTTTTGTTGTTGTTGTTGTTGTTTTTTTTTGGGATATGTCATTTTGACGTAAGTTTCACACTGCGATGCTCGTGTTGAACCAACCTCCGGATGCAGAGTTTGACTCTCTCCATTGCCCTGTTTGGGACCATGCTTTACCCACCCTGTGCTATATCTGTGTGTTTGTGTGTCCCATCCATAGTCTGTGTGGATACCGTCCCAGACAGTGCTCTGGTGCCCTCCAGAAGTTTTGAAACCACCTGATTGGATCTCTCAGATCTAACCTCCTTCCTTCTTACTGACCTCGTCCACCAGATTTCTTCAAACTTGCATGTGATATTCTCCTTTAATTTTTTCTGTGAGCATTCCATTTATTAACGTGGCTTGTTTCTAGGTATACAGCACATTGGACTAAAGCGTATACTTACAACGAGCGTTTGTGTTGCTTTGGTATTTGTTTTCCTTGAAATGTATGATTTTTGGTTTGTGTTCCTCACGGCTTTTCTTAGTGCACGCCAAAATTGAGTGACTTGTGAACTGTAGTCATCTTGTGAAAGCAGAACACAGACTGCAGTTGCTTTTCCTCTCGTTGCTCCTCCACCTTCTCCTGCTCCTCCTTCACCTCTTTATCCTCAACTGAGGGGGTCTCTCCTTCCCCTCTGTCCCCCCTCTCTCTTCCACTCCCCTCTTTTCTCTCATCCCAAGGGTCCCTTCCACCCTTCCATTTTGTCTCTGGCGTCATCTCTCATCATTCTCCTTCTCTTTCCTCCCTTTTTTTTTAACGACAGATCCGCGTTGTGAATGCATTCCGTAGCTCCCTCTATGAAGGCCTGGAAAAACCAGACTCCAGATCATCCATCCACAACTTCATGACGCACCCAGAGTTTAGGATAGAAGACTCCACGCCCAACATCCCCCTCATCGACGACACAGACGACGATTCCGCTCGGAGGAGGAGGAAGTACTCCAGCCAGCCCTCGTCCCCCAACAAGAACAACAACGCCATCGACAGTGGCATCAATCTCACCATTGACACCAGTAAATCAGCCGCCTCCTCCAGCCCCGCCAGTCCTCTTCACAGCTTGGAGACCAGCCTCTAACCCTGATTCTAACCTCAGCTCTAACCTCTAATGTCGTTTCCTTGCAGTCTGGAGGCACCTTCTCCAACTCCTCCAGACCTTTAACTGCAACCTTACACCTTGTCGCCCCCAAAATCTCACCCAGTCCAGGTCAATTCTCATCCCCCACCCTCCCCTCTCCATTTACTACACAGGGCAGGTCCTGTGGCAAAACCTTCATCTCTCCTCCCCTTAACCTTGAGCTCTTAAAGCTCTCCGCTCCTTTCAAAACAGAGAAAAATCTAAAGTAATATGGCAAGGTGAAAAGAAAAACTTAACATACAATCAAAAAAGCGCAACAAAGCCACAAAACCTACACAGCCATCCTGCTTTTGTGGTTGTATGTGTACGGTGGCGGCGGCAGTGGTGGTGTGTATGACTATATGCGTGTTAGCATGTACTGTATAAGCGTGCCGCTGACTGCACATAAGTATGAACTGTGTCTTTAGAGACACCAGGAGGAGGACGATGAGGAGGGAGACACTGCTGAGGAGTCAAAAATCACAAAACAGGACAGACTCTAAACTCCCCTTACACTCCCCCTCCTCAACAATAACATTGTCAATACTGATAATAGTTTAAATTAAATTGAAAAACATTGTTATTATTATGATTCTGATTCTGATTATTATTGTTATTATTATTGTTGCTCCTGCATGAATGTACATTACCCAAGTTTTATTTAAAAGGGTTTTAATTTTATTGGAGTTCTTTCGTTCTGATGGGCTAGGCCTCGCGGCGGACTACTATTTTAAAGACAGCTTCTCTGAGTTCCTGGCCTGCAAAGTTCCCTCTTCTGTGTGGCATGAACATGTACCCGACTGTAAAAATTTATTTCATCCATAAACAGAAATGTGTAACGAGGTGGTAGGGCTCAACTTGCACAGTAGTTTTGCACCTGTTGGAAAAGAGGAACGCAAAAATAAGAATGATGATGATAGCATTTATGGGATATATTCTATAAATATAAATACATATAAATATATTTAGAGAGAGTTTATCTTTGTTTGTCGGCATGTTGCCTTGTTCCTGCTTCAATGGCTCAAAATACTTTGACTTATTTATGTCTTAAAGAGAATGTAATTTGTTTACAACCTCGTAGAGATAAACTTCCTGGTTTCTAGAAGGAGAGGGGCGAAGCTGAAGCTCAGAGGACCAGAGCTGTGTTGGTGTGTTATTACTGAAAAACCATGTGCTGGAATTTGCCTGCTATCTTTTCAAATATTGTAGATATTTTTAGAGGATTAACAAACAAAAAGAAACCAAAATATAATGGGAAACGTAGTAAATGTGGAATCTTAGTATTACTCTATATGATTGTTGGGATCAAGTTGGAGTGGCTTGCCTTTTCTAAACGGAGGCCTCCTTTTTGTGACAGAGGGGGAATATTTAATTCTTTTTTTTCCACTTCTTCTTCTCTCTTTTTTTTTATTTTTAAATTGTGGGTTGTTTTTTTTTTTCTTCTGTGCTTCAGCGCTGACCTGGGGTCAGGGCTCGAGTCAAAGGCTGATATCAGGACCTTTACAGTGAACTGTCTTCTAGATAAACATGCTTGTTCAAAGGACTTGATGTTTTAAAAATATGTGTGACCATCAAAAAACAATTGAGTCATATTAGAAATCAGCAGTTATATTTGGCTTATCTGTGCCGCATGGAAATCTGACTTTTTTTTTTTGTTTGTTTATTTTTGTTCACAATTTGGAATATATTGTGTTGTTTATTTTTTTATTTAATTTTTGATTTATTTGTTTGGGTTTAAAGGATTTCCTCTAGCAGAGAGAGAGACACACGCAGCCCCACAAAGCTGTTAGCATTTTTAACATCTTTAAAAAAAAAAAAAAAGAAAAAAAAAAGAAAAACGGACAAAAAAAAGACAAATTACAACAAACATGGAATGTTGCTTTGACTCTTTTTCTATATATAAAAAAAAGACGATCCTTTTCTGCACTATCTGGTTATGAATGAAAACTTCTGTGGTGTAATTCTAGATGTGCTTTTGTGTGTTTTAACCAAGCTTGTCTTCCTGCCGTCACAGAATATACAGTACTAGCATCTCAACTGTACTCACTAGTTGTAAACTATTTATTGTGCTTTGACCAATCAGACATTACCAGAGAGAAGTGACATACAGAAGGCACATTTACCCAGTCTTATTGCACTCAGAAGGACAAGGCCACTTAACTAGCCTGTACTATTGTTATTTCTATTACTAACCGAAGTCAATGACAAGCATGACGCGAGAGGCTCATTATGCAACTTGAAAAAATTGACGATTTTTCTACGTAAAAAGAAATCCTATACACTACTACAGTATATACAATCATTTATCCGAGCAGTTCTTTCTTTTTTTCCTTTTTTCTATCCTCCTCTGTCATTTCACAGTCAATCCGTCCATCTGAAGAGGGTGCACAAGCTTTACCAGTCAGCTCAGGCGTGTTGAAAAAGTCACATGGACCATTTGAGTAAAAAAATAAATATCTGTCTTATTTAAGTTGGGAAAAAACACAGTCTGGATTCTGATATTCTGCTTAGAAGCTGTTGATTTATTTTGTTTCCTTTCCAGTGTTTTAACTTGACAATTTATTTGTTTATTTGTCTGTAAAAAATTTAAAACAATAAACAAAAAACATAACAACAACAGCATTTTCAATAAAAAACAACAACAACAAAAAAAGACTTAAGCCAACATTCTCCAAACCACTTTTACATCCAGGAGGACATTCAGCTTTAAGAGGATGCAAAGACGTCAAGTTTAAAAATAATCTTTGTAAATACAGCAATGAGTCCACTGAGGACAGAAACTCCATTGGACTGGTGTGAAAACAGGAACTTTTCCTGACTACGTCTCCCATCATGCACCACCAACAAGTCATACTGCCGACGCAGCTGTTTGGCTGTATGTAATCCATCACTGCTCCTGTCAGAAACACTTCAAAACATCATGATTACATCCAAATGATAACACGTGTTGTAACAACCAATAATTATACTGATGATGATGATGATGATGATGATGATGACACTGACGATGATGATGATGATAATGATGATATCAATGATACTTCTTGCAATATACTCTCACCTGCCTCGATGTACTGTATTTAGCAGCATGCAGTTTGTGGAACAAAGAAAAAGAGAAATGCCAACAGATAACTTTTTGGCATACTTAGCCATTTATGGGTAAGTGATTTAAGTGTTCATCTTGTTTTTATGATATTTTTTTTATCTATACAATAATTGTAAATAAAGAACTCAATGTCTTTGTTCATTTAATACTATGCAAAAAGTCATGCTTTTCTGATTGTTACCCACCCTTAATCCTAGAGTGTGTTGCTGGAATGTTTGTGGTCTCAAAAGTCAGTAAAAACAATGTGATGTAAATTATTTTCTAGCTTGAGGAAAAAAGTTAAATAATGATGAAAATTATTATTATGATATCATGACATGATGAGGAGGATGATGATACTGGTGGTGACAGTGATGATGATGCTAATACTGATGATGATGATACTGATGATGATGATGAACTGTGACTCTTGCTGCTTGACTGTCCCATTTACCACACTCCTGACAGGAGCGCAAGTGAAAAACATAATAAAAAAAGAAAAGAAAAAAAAAACAAGAAAAAAAAAGGAAAAATCACTAAATAAATCTCCCAGAGCAGCATGACCCAGCATGGTGTGTCCTGGCCCCGTGTGACATGTCCTGTTCTGATTCGTTGTGCTTCACCTCTCAGCGTCCACTATTACTGTTTCTCCATTGCCACTGGTTTGTTTCAGAAAGGTTCTGCTCACATGTTCAGCAAATGTTTAAGGATTTAAATGTGACTGTCAAATGATGCTTTTGATGTAACACCTTAAAGGCTATGTTTGGTGTTTTTAAATCTGAACCTTATCTTCCCATGTTTTTATGTCTCAGGGTGCTTTCAGACCTAGAGTTTGCTTGCTTTGGTCCGAATCAGGGACTCATTTTGTTGCATAATTGCTTAGAGTTGGTTTGCGTTCAACAAGCGGACCTGATAAAATGCCTGTGCGAGAAAGCTGCTCTTTATTGGTCAGAATTTCCATGTGGGAAAAATCCAGGACGTAAACAAAACGTTGAAGAGTACAAATGTGACACTTTCTGATGTCACAATGGAGGGACAACTACGCAGGTTGATTTTAGCGCTGGTCATCGTGGACTATATTGCTGTCATTGTTCATTTTAGTCAAACCATACAGTTTGAAAACAAGGCGCGGCTCCAACTAGAAAACAATGTTTTGATGCATTGGATGTGCTGAATGTGCATATTAAGACAGTACAGGAGGAGGTGCACATTAATAATCCTCCAGGACTGTAACATGCTCATGTTTAACCCAAACAATGTGTCATGTGACTAAAGTTGGTTCGGATCGAGGTCGAAACACGTTCTCACCACAAACGAACCACACCAGAGTTTGTCTGTAACCGGACCTAGACCACCTCTGCAAGAAGGTCTCAGTCCAATTGTTTTAGTGCACCCGAGTGCGATTGCTGTGTTCACATCTGCCCAAACGAACCGCACGTAGGGGGCAAACGAACTTGAGTTTGATTGAACCTAACCAAACCAAACAGGGCAGGCGTGAAAGCACCCTGAGTGACTAATGGAAAATGGAGACAGTGACAGGCTGGTATTACTGTTCTAAGTGTCTGACAGCATTATGAAAAGGATTCCTACAGAGATAGACCTTTTGTGACAGAGATAGACCTTTTTTGTTTAACCCGTAACAGCTCCGAAATCACTGTCAACAAACCCTCCAGACTCCATTTATATAGACTATAATTTTAGCGTGTATAGAGCCCAAATATTCTTTACATCTAACTGTTGGAACAGTGGAAAGATGATCCAAGACTTGTGAGTTTTATTTTGTTTCTGTCGGCCTTGAATTAAGTGTTTTATGATGAGAAAATTACCGTTTATTTAAATGGAGTTCGGTGGGTTTGGCCATCGTAATTTTGGGGCTGTTTCTGATTAAACAAAAAGGATTTTACCCTTTATTAAAAGGTCTGTCTCTGCAGAGATCCTTTCTATAACTTGTCAAATACTTATAATTTATTATCAGCCTATCAGTGGCAAAAACAAGCACTTTTAGAGGCTGGAATATGACGGTGCACACGTGCCCCAAGTTGTTTGGCTTAGTGCTGGACCAGTTTCAAAGACAGTTGTTCCCATTAATTACCTAAACACAAAAACATGGGGGGAGAAAGTGTCTGGGTTGAAAAATACTAAAGTTACCCTTTAAACCTGTGGGTCCCGTCCTTTTTAACCTTATGGCCCCGTAAACGTCCATTGTGTTGGATTTAGGAGCATCTGGGGCAGAAAGGGGATATAACATTCATAACTATGTTTTCATTAGTCTAAGAGTCGTGTTTTTGTCACCTTAGAAGCGGGTCCTTTACCACAGAGTCCGCCATGTTGTTCCTACAGTAGCCCAGAATTGACAAACAGAACACTGGCTCTAGCTAGAGCTATTTGTGTTACACGTCAGCCACTGTCGTTCTCCTGGCACACGAGAAGTTTCAGCTGGTTGCTAGATGCCACTAAACTACACACTAGACCTTTAAAATCAGACAACTCTGGGCATCCTGCTGTCTAAGGGGTTAAAGGTCATACCCTTGTACAATAATTGCAACATCACTGGTTCAAGTCCCGCTGAGGAGTATTGCTGCATGTCATTTCCATCTTTCTCCCCCCTCTCCTCTCTGTCTGCTGTCTACTCTCTAATACAGGCAGAAACAAGCTTTTTAAAGAAGTGTTTCAGCAAAGTGTGAATGTGAGAAACCTGACGACAGAGCACGCTGTTATTTCATGAGAAAATGATAAATAGCGTCAAGACTAAAAGTCTGCAGCCATGCGGACAGTTCTGTGAGGCTCCACTTAGTCAGTGTTCATGCTTTGAGTTAAATGCAGTGACCATGTTATCATGCTGATGTTTAGTGACTATAACATTTACATGTTTACCATCTTAGTTTAGCGTGTTAGCATGCTAATACTTGCTAAGTACCACCAGGCCCCAGGAACACAGCTCAGCCTTGCTTCCAGTTTTTCCTAGTGGCCACTTGTGGTATTGGCAGAGAAAAAAAATCTCCCTGCAGCCCAAAAAGCTTTTTCCATAGGCCACTATTACACTGAACAAAAATATAAACGCAACACTTTTGTTTTTGCTCCCATTTTTCATGAGCTGAACTCAAAGAGCTAAAACATTTTCTATTTACACAAAAGACCATTTCCTCACAAATATTGTTCACAAATCTGTCTAAATCTGTGTTAGTGAGCACTTTTACTTTGCCGAGATAATCCATCCCACCTCACAGGTGTGGCATATCAAGATGCTGATTAGACAGCATGATTATTGCACAGGTGTGCCTTAGGCTGGCCACAATAAAAGGCCACTCTAAAATGTGCAGTTTTATCACACAGCACAATGCCACAGATGTCGCAAGTTTTGAGGGAGCGTGCAGTTGGCATGCTGACTGCAGGAATATCCACCAGAGCTGTTGCCCGTGAAATTAATGTTCATTTCTCTACCATAAGCCGTCTCCAAAGGCGTTTCAGACAATTTGGCAGTACATCCAACCGGCCTCACAACTGCAGACCACGTGTAACCACACATAAAGCAAAACTGCACATTTTAGAGTGGCCTTTTATTGTGGCCAGCCTAAGGCACACTTGTGCAATAATCATGCTGTCTAATCAGCATCTTGATATGCCACACCTGTGAGGTGGGATGGATTATCTCGGCAAAGGAGAAGTGCTCACTAACACAGATTTAGACAGATTTGTGAACAATATTTGTGAGAAATGGTCTTTTGTGTATATAGAAAATGTTTTAGATCTTTGAGTTCAGCTCATGAAAAATGGGAGCAAAAACAAAAGTGTTGCATTTATATTTTTGTTCAGTATATCTAGGAGACGTCTGTTAAACTGTTAACAGGACACCTTCAACTGCAAACACGGTCATTTGTGACTCTTTCTATTATGAATGTTTGATCCATGAAGGTTTAATTCTTGTATAACTTTCCTTGAGCTGAGAAAATAATTTTAAAATCTGTGACATCACCATGTAAAGTCTGTAAGTTGAGCAGTAATTAACGGGCAGAGCCAGCTGGAGAAACACTACTGTGCATAATCAATGGGTAGTAGACCAGGAAGATTGAAACTTTTTGGGCATATGTACCAGGTGAACAGTTCCATTGGACTGAATAGGTGCCATCTTGGAGTCCTGTATCTAGGTATTATTATACATCTATAGGATCATTAAGGTTCACCCTCTGGAGACTATGAAGTCTGTAAAACATCTCATGGCACACTATATTATGTACACACTATACTACCAAATACACTAAGTGTGCAAGCTCCTCTGATATTTTCAAAAGCTGTAGTCAAGTTAAATACATCGACATGACAAATTTCTTCCCATGACTGTAAACTGCCGATGCCTGCAGCATGTTAAAGTAGGTTTGCTCAGGACTGATCTCATCCAGTCTGAGTGAGGAGGGGCTGATGGTGTCTGAAGAACATCACAGCTCTGACTTAATCTTCTTTCCCTTTAATTTAAAATAGCACCATGCCCGCCAGTATCAGTGTGATGTTAGACACTGAGGTCGAGCATGTTGACAAACTGTCTGCCCATGATGGAGCGACGGATGGTGGATGGAAACCATGTGCCAGCCCGACACTCCTCCTGCATCAGAGAACAATTTAGTCTGTGACGACATGATTAGTGGATATCTGAGTGATAACAGGGCTTGTTGTGTAATGGAAAGGTCACAGAAGATGTTTTATCTAAATGTGTGTGTCCACTGGAGGGCAGTGTTTTACTGGAGAGAAGTGAAGAGCCATGACATCCCTGATCATCCTGTCAAGAGTCTCTTTAGCACCACTGTTGTTATAAGTGAGTAGAGTAAAGGAGACAGAGTAAGACATCCTGAGCATTATTTTAGACTCCACAACTTGGTTAGGTTGAACATCAGTGTCACTGAGCTCTTGCTTCAGTGTTTGTCTGAGGTCTGCCTTTGTTATGAGGACATTTGACAAGCTGAAAAAGCTAAATGGCAAATACATCTTGACTGTTTACTTCATTATAGTCTGAACTCTATCTGAATGTAGCAACAGTCAAGTTCAAAGCCATGAAAATCATGATTAAACATGCATTAATATATATATTTTTTTGGACTTTGGGACAACAAGCTATAGACACATCATTATCATATGATCACCTTGTAAAGATGATACAGTAAAAATGGCTGCTTATTAACACATCCAACAGATACAGAGCAACATTAGCCCGCTCATATCTCCATTCTGGGATGTCCAGATCTATAATTACTGTCATCTGACTCCAGCCAAATGCACAGACTTATTTAATAGGATGTCTATAAGCCAGTCACAGTGTTCCACATCATCTAAAGTGGACTGCTATGAAGCCACGCCCCCTTCTTTAACAAGCATGGACGATTGTGAGGAAAGGAGGAAAGGCAAGTTTCAGTCAATTAATCCATCCATCCATTTTCTAACCGCTTATCCTCTTGAGGGTCGCGGGGGGCTGGAGCCTATCCCAGCTGACATTGGGCGAGAGGCAGGGTACACCTTGGACAGGTCACCAGATTATCACAGCGCTGACACATAGAGACAGACAACCATTCACACTCACATTCACACCTACGGACAATTTAGAGTCACCAATTAACCTGCATGTCTTTGGACTGTGGGAGGAAGCTGGAGTACCTGGAGAAAACCCACGGTGACACGGGGAGAACATGTAAACTCTGCACAGTTTTAAAGTAAACATGAGATGTTATGTTAGTTATTGCTGGATGGACAGGGGATCTGAGGGTCACTGGAAAATGAATAGAGGAAATACTGGGTCCGCACCTTACGACGCC